TCGGGCACATCTCTTTGATTCCACTGGTCTTCCTGCATTAACATATGCCTCAGAGACCTGAGCCCTATGAAAACAGGATGAGAACGCTATTCAGGTCTCCCAAAGAGGAATCGAAAGAGCTATGCTTGGAGTATCATGTTTCACTCAAATGAGAGAAAGAATCCAATCCGGAGTTCCGATCTCTGTCAACGGATCATTGTATAACTAAAATCCAAGCACAAAAATTTGTAAGTCTATAACTGTACCTCATGGTGTTTCACTAATAAAAAAATAAAATAAAATAAAAGAATCAGGGATGCTGTCTTGTTTGCCAAGGCATCGAAAATCAGATGGGCTGGACACGTAATGAGATTTGGAGACTACCGCTGGACTAGAGCCATTACCAACTGGATTCCACGGGATGTCAAAAGACCACGTGGCTGCCTACCTACAAGATGGTCAGACTTCTTTGTCAAGACCCTGAACAATTGGTTTGAGGCTCTTCGTGTTCTAGAACAGACGCCATTGGGCTACACTAGCACGTGACAGGGAAGAATGGAGATGTTACTGGCACCCGCTCGAAAAATTTGATGATTAATGAGAAGTCAAGTGATCAAGTGATCATAATTGAATGTTGGTGCATAGACAATGAAGATAATAACTGCCGGCAGTGGGCCACATCTATTCAAGTGTAATCATCCACTTTTAGGCACTCGAATGAATCAATGCTCATGGCCAAGTTTGTTTTGACAAGAACTCCGACACCACCAATGTTTCTTTTGTCGCATGTTTCGAGAAACAGTTCTTCTCCAGTGTCGAAAATGGCATGATGTGGTTGATGCCTTCTCATCTCAGTCAGACCAATGATGTCATACTTGATCTTTTGTGCTTGCACCATCAGGTTCTCAATGGATGCATCCAATTCCACAGTACGTGTATTGAAAGTACAGATAGTCATTTTTGTCCTTCTTCATTTTGGCAGCCTAGTTCGGCCTTGAGATTTTATCAGCCTCTCCTTCCTCATCCTTCTTAACGCTGCAGTATTGTTGGCTCTTTCAGGGTCAGGGAAATGAGACCCATTGTATTTACTGGTTTTGGCATATCAAATATGCCATTGATAGTTTGCCAGGCTCTGTGGTGCAGGCGGTATACTCTCGGTAGCTTGCCAGGCTCACTGGCAAGAGGGATAGAAGCTTTTAGGGTGGCCTCTAGTCACCCTTGCAGGTATTCCCATGGTTCAAACTATATTTGAACCCCATCAAATATGGTGCAGTAATCTTGGAAGATGGGTATTAAGTGTCTTATGATGTGTCTGAAAAGTGGCCTGGAGTATGGCGGTGGCTGGGTAGTGGAGGCAGTGGAGGTCTGCCGATGAGGTATTTATCTGATACCGGTAGGGTGGGACATCTGGGTGTGAACGCTGGGTCACCAGAGATTGGTGGGAGCAGGCAGAGTATCTCTGTTTCCGAGTCCCATTGAGCCTGGAGTCCAAGGTCATAGAGTTCCGCTTACCCGGTTCTGTGGGGCTTCACTCATGTGTGAGTCTCGGCCCAAGCGTCCAGAAATTTTTACACACAAACAAAATGTAAAAACAAATGGCATTTTGAAATCATGACTACTATAAAAATGCATGATATATTATTTTAGACATGATCAGTTTACTAAAAATGTTTTATAAATTCCGAATAAAACATTTTTTTCTTATTTGGCTTGCCTGGAGTCCATAGTATTAACAAATTTTGTAAAAGTGAGCCCATTGTTTGCCATGTTACTCATACCTGCTCTTTCTGACCTGCCACAAAAGCCTTCAGTGAATTTTGACACAGGCCAACAGAGATGACAAATGCATTGGTTCGGGCTTAACCTCATATGCTTTCTGTATAAAACATACAAAACCTCTTTGAACTTTTCAGTTCCCATTTAAGCTGAAAAATGCTTTCAGCATAATTTTCAGCAACAACAAAATAATTCTAGTTCTGCCTGCTTCTCCCAAGGTTACCTTCAAATGACAAATCTGTGAAAAACTTCAAGGCATATTTTTCCGTTCTTTTGTACAAGATAAACAGAGTGGTTTTCAGATGATCTATCTTTTATTTTATTATTTTGGCCTTGGGGCCACACCAGACAGTGCTCAGGTGTAGAGAGTGCTTGGGTTTGAACCCAGGACTCCTACATAAAGCATGAAGACTAGTCCTCCTTTGAGCTATTTCTCTGGCTCCAAAGATCTATCTTTCTTTTTTTTTTTAATTTTTATTAGTGAAACACCATGAAGTAGACAGATGGGTTTTGCTTCATTTTTGTATGTTAAGCTATGTTTTATTTTAAGATAGATATTTCTCCTGGTCACATCCCTGAAAATATTTCAATTTCATACACCTTAAAAAGGTAGTTTTTTTTAAAAAAATGTAGTTTATCAAAAAATATTGGGACCACATAAAACTTAAAAAACTCTACACAGCAAAACAGTAAAAGAAACTATCCTACATACAAAAGGAATTTTACTGAACTGAAGAATATGTTTGTAACTTATAAATCTAACAGAGTATTAGCAGCAAAATATATTTTTTAAAAAATTATACAACTCAACAATAAATAAATAACCCTGACAGAGGATCTGAAGAAAACATGCAGATTGCCAATAGGCACATGGGAAAATGTTGATCACTACTGATTTTTAGGGAAGCACAAATAAAAATCAAAATAAAGTGTTGGGGCTGGAGTAGATGGAGCACACTGGGTAGAGCATTTGCCCTGCACGTGACCAACCCGGGTTTGATTCCTATCATCCCATATGGTCCCTCGAGCACCGCCAGGAGTAATTGCTGAGTGCAGAGCCAAGAGTAACCCCTGTACATCACCAAGTGTGACCCAAAAAGAAAATTTTAAAAAAATGAAGTGTCATCTGCACAGGTGGGCCTCTAATATATCAAAAAGATACAGTGGAACAAGAAATGTGGCTCAGAGAGAGCACAGGCCTTTGCATACTATGTATGAGGACTTGGGGTTGATTCCCTGCTAACCACTTCCCTCTAGAAAAAAAGGTATTGGTCAGAATTTCGGGAAAAATAGCCCCTTTGTACTTTTCCTGAGAATGTAAACAAATTGAGTCTGAGGAAATCTGCACTGCACTGTAGCACTGTAATCCCATTGTTCATCAATTTGCTCGAGCAGGCACCAGTTACAGCTCCATTGTGAAACTTGTTGTTACTGTTTTGGTATATCAAATATGCCATTGGGAGCTTGCCAGGCTTTGCCATGTGGGCAGGATACTATTGGTAGCTTGCCCAGCTCTACAAGAGAGAAGGAGGAATTGAACCCGAGTTGGCCACGTGCAGGGCAAACACCCTACCCACTGTACTATCGCTCCAGCCCTCAAAAACTTAAGGATTAAAATGCCATCCAGTGATTGTTCTTCTGAATATTCACCCAAAGAATACAAAAAGTACTCACTCAAAGAGATATAGGCACCCTCAACATAAGGAAAATTAAATGCCCACTAACCGGTGAATATATAAAAATGAGGTGTATATGTGCAGTAGAATGTACTATTAAAAATGATGTAACTGCTATTTTTCAGCAACAAGGGCAGACCTTTGAGGTTATTGTACTAAATGTTGAAATAAATCAGAGAGAAAAACACTGTGATGTCACTCTTATGTGGAAAATACAGGGGGGAAATGAGCAAAGTGAAGTAGACTCTTAGATTATAAAATCAAAATGACAGCCCCAGAGAGATGAGGGAAGGTGTGGGCAAATTGAGTTAAGGGACCAATGGCAGGTGATGGATGGAAACTATTTTTGGTAGTGATCATAACAGCATATACAAATGTTGAATTATTTTAATTATCTACACCTGAAATATACAAAAAGGTTTAGATGAGTATTACTACAGTATTTTTTAAACTTTTAGCTTATCAAATATCTTTGACTAAATTCTACCTGAAACTCAAATCATCATTCTCATGTAGCACATAAATAGCATTTACCATATGTTATCTTGCATTACGAATATTTATACATTAGCTTTATCACTCAAGTTATATTTTAAAATCCACTGAGGGAGTCAGAGAGATAATTCAGAGGGTTGGATGGCATACTCTGCATGTGGGAACCCCAGGGTCCGTCCTCAGCCTCACATAGTCCTCCACGCACCACTAGGAGTGACCCCCCCCCCCCCGCAACTCCCCAAGCATGCACCAAGGAATAGCCACTGAGCACTACCAGGTGTGGCTGAAAAAACAAGGATCTTTTAAATCACCCCATTATGTAGTTTATAAAGCATTGAATGAAAATAATTTTTTTCATTTTTGTTGTAGTTCAGAGATCATGCTTACGTGTCACTTTCAGAGACTCGGTACAGGTGTGGGTGACAGTGTGAAGATAAAAGCACAGAAATCCACAATGCTGTTCCTCATGCCCCTTTTTAAAATATCTCAGCAGTGCATATGTTGTGCTGGTACCTTGGTGTTAAAATTTTTTTTCTATTTTTACTTTAAACATCTCAAAATGTACTCAACAGCTAATGGTTATTAATATGCCAGATATTTTCACTTGATGATATGATTACCTCTATTTAGCATGTGAGGAAATGTCAATGCATCTAAGAAGTTATGTAAATCTTGAGAGAAATATTTCTGAAACTAGATAAAGGCCTAAATTGGGAATATATAATTCTAAGATATAGCTAATCAATGTCCTGTAGATTCTAAAGTGTCATCTTCTCCCTGTTCACCATCAGATATTCTCCTGAATTTAGAAAGTTTAATGTGTCTGTAATTCTAGTAGACACAGAGAGACTGAGTAGAGACAGAAGCTCTTTAATAGTATTCTAAATATAATCTAAGCTTACTATGAACAAGATCTGGGGAGATATAAAATGATATCTCTCAGCTTTTGAGTAAGGTCATTGAGAAAAAAGTTATTAAAATATATACAAAATAAAACTTTGGGTAATTTTGTCAAGCTACATATGAATCACAAAATTTTTGTAAATTTTCTATCCTTATCATGTATTGTTGTAGAATGAATACCTACATGAAGATGTTGATGCTAGAGTTATTGAATACGAAGATAACCGACCCCTCTTAGATATATTTCTGCAGAAGCCAATGGGTTTGCTCTCCCTACTTGATGAAGAAAGTAGGTTTCCCAAAGCCACAGACCAGACTCTCGTAGGTGAGTTTTGAATCCACTATGTCATTACAGGCTTTCTTTATACATTCATGTAAGTCTGGATGATATGTTAAGGTTTTCTTAGTTGTCTTGGAGAAAAAAAAATATTTATCAAGGAGCCTACATTTGTAAGCGATAGCACAGCAGTAGGGTATTAGCCTTGCGCACAGCCGGCCCAGCTGGCCGAGCCGAGTTCAATTCCTCCACCCCTCTTGGAGAGCTTGGCAAGCTGCGGAGGGTATCTTGCCCACATAGCAAAGCCTGGCAAGCTACCCATGACGTATTCAATATGCCAAAACACAGTAACAAGTCTCACAATGGAGACATTACTGGGCCCACTCGAGCAAATCAATGAACAATGGGAGGACAGTGACAGTGACAGTGACTAGACCTGTGAATATTTATAATAGAACAAAAAATAAACAATTTATTTTTTTTTATAATTTATTTATTTATTGAATCACTGTGGGAAAAGTTACAGAGCTTTCGGGTTTAGGTCTCAGTCATGTAGATACCAAACACATTTCCCTTTACCAATACTCATTTTTAACCCCGAACCCCAATAGACCCCCACCTCCCACCCCTCCCAATTCTTGTGAGGCAGATGAGTTCTAGTTAATACTCTATCTACTTTGACTAGATAGATTATTTCGATAGAAGATGCACAATTATTGTTTAGAGTTTACGACCACCCCCCACAATCAGACATGCTGAAACAGCGTTGTGAAATGATTTGCTTTCTACAACTTGGTTTAAGAATAAAATGATGTTGCGCGGCCACAATAGCGGCTGCGCAGTTTTGAATTTCTGCTATTTTACTTATTGACGCTGGAAGAATTTCTATTAAAAGTTAGCTAGTTAAGAGATTGGTTTCTGTGCCCTGGAGTCGTGGCCGTGCCGGAGAGCCGCTCGTGGGGGGCAGCTGGCGACCTCGGTGGGGCGTGGGGGACGGCCCACAAAGCCCCCCTTCCCATGAGGTCCCTGCCGCTCCCGCCAGCCCCGGCTCAAACCTGCTTTCCACAAGGCTCCCGTGCGGCCGCCATCTTTCTTTCCAGAGAGGAGCCAAAAATTAAACAATTTAAACAATTAAACAAGTTAAACAATTTTCAATATTGGTCTTCTCTTATCCTATCGTAGATTCCCAACCTGAGTATTTTATTTTAGAAATGACCTTATAAATGATTTAACCCCAGGTCCAGATAGCACACTGCAGGTAAGTCTATTTCTTGCTTTTTCGTGGCACCATAAATGGTACCTGAGCTGTCAGGAGTGATCCCTGAGTGCAGAGTTAGGAGTAAGCCCTGAGCACTGCTGGGTTTGGACCTAAAACAAACAAACAAACAAATAAACAAAGAGAAATGATCCAGCCCCAAATTAGAAGTTGTAGGGTACTCTAGAATTTGAAAGAAATAGCTACTGTGAAGGAAATCTAGTTGTTGTTCTATTGCCAATCTAGTAATTCATCTAATAGAGCCAAATAAACTTAAATACCTTAACTATTTCTCAGTTTCAGCACATTAATGAATGTTCATGGTATTACCGGTTGTCAAAGAAAGATTAGATTAATTTATTTTTGTTTGAAAAGGAGAGATGTATATATAAGACTTCGATCATCTAAAATCATGAAAACATAGGCTGGTGAGATAATAAAGCGGCTAGGGTGCTTGGCTTGAATGTGCCAACTTGGGTTTCATTCTGGCACCACATATGAACTCCCTGAGCACTGCCCATAAATATTTATGGTTCAGGAAATATTACAGAGATTAGGGTGTGTACCTTGCCTGCACCTGACCTGGGTTCCCATCTCTAGCACTGCATGGCCCCTAAAGAATCATCAGGCATCACCCTGTAAGGCCCCATGAGCTGGTGGCATGACTCTGATGGTCATCAGAGGTCCCAAAAATGAGCACCGCATCCTCAGACTGCAGTTTCAACAGAATTGCCTGGTGGGCCAAAATTGTGGAGAGTTGCCCTGTACCCCTGGAGCATTTTTTGGGAGACCTAATTTAAAAAAACTAAAATTTTATTTTAAATTATTACTACTGGGAGTCAGAGAGATAGTATAGGGAGTAAGGTGCTTGCCTTGCATTTAGCTGGCCCAGATTCAAACCCTGGCACCCCATAAGGCCTCCCCAAGCACTACCAGGAATGATTCCTGAACAGTAACTCTTGGGTCACCGGGTGTGGCCCCCCAAAAACAAAATAAATTCCCTACTACTAATATTTTTGAAACTGAATTCTACATTTTCAGATATTTCAGGTTTTAAGTGTGTAAACACCACACTCCCTGAGGGTAGGACTTAATTGGTTATTTTTAAAAAATAGACATTTGCTGGAATTTTAGGTTTCCCTTTTCTTTTATTTTGTTATACTGTATCTTATCGAATCTGTGTTGTTGTGTCCCTCAGAATCATTGATTGATTCTTTCTTCTAATCAAACAAGATTCTAAGTGGAAAAGAAAACAACTCCACGGTTTGGGGAAATGTCATTTCATAGTAGTCACTTAATTCTAACTAAAAATGTTTCTTCTTGGATAACAAGTTCTCTAAGGGTGGTGAAATTATTATTGTAATATACCTATCTTTATGATCATATCATCCTCTTCTGTAATCCACAGTAACTTCTGGTTGCATCTTTGGAAAGGGAGGGCTAAAACACCAAAATTCCAAGACATGGCTGGACATCAAATTGTATTTCATTAACCTCTTTGTCTCTCTCCCATAGTTTTGTTCCTCTATCCCAAGAATATCAGTAACATAGGGGAATTTGCTGGAAACATGAATTTTTGGATCCAATTGCAAACTTGATATAAGGGGTGGAACCCAGCAATCTATTTTGATGAGCCTCCCAATTGTCCTAATGTTTGCGAAGTATGAGAAATGGAACTCCAAAATAGTGTTTGGCAACCATATACAGACCATCAGGGCCTCCTTATTACCTTGCTTCCCTCTTGTAGCCCTCACCATTCTACCACATAACACCCTAGTCTCATGCTATGGCCACCATTTTTCAAAAATGCCTGAATTGGCTACATAAAATTCTTTTTCATTGCATGCTTTCCTTTTAATGGTAAAAGAGAATTATTCTGACAATCAATATTTTTATGTTCTCCTTCATATTTAATATTAGACTTCATATTTTGTCCTGCAGAAAAATTTGAAGGCAATCTGAAATCACAGTACTTCTGGAGGCCCAAAAGTTTTGGAATTAGTTTTGGAATTCATCATTATGCAGGAAAGGTAAGCACTTTAGAGATTTAGGACCAAGTTTCTCTTTAGCCTTTCATCAAATAATTTTTTCAGAGAAATTTCCATTAAGAAGTAAGAGGGAGCTGGAATGAAAGTAGAGTGGGAAGGATGTTTGCCTTGCACATGGTGGACTGGGTTTGATCCCCAGCACCCCATATAATCCTCTGAGCCCACCAGAAGTTATCCTGAGTGCAGAGAAGGAGTAAACCTTGAGCACATATGGGTGTGACTGCCCTCCTCAAAAAGACATAAAGAAAGGGAGGGAGAGAGGGAGGGAGGGAGTAATGATGGAAAGGAGAAAATAAGGGAAAAGTAGGACAAAACTTTAAGATCTTAACATCTGATTTTGAGTGAGATTGACTGGGACTACTTACTGACCTTTTCTTTCTTTTAATAATAACTGGAAATATTTTCCATTTCCTTTTGTCATTGCTGTGGTTGCAGTGATGGAGTGGGACAGGGGCTTCCTGGCTCTTGGTTGCAATTCTCAAATGCTTGGCTGCAGTGCTCGCCAGGCATATCTATCTATACTTATGGTACGTGAGCCCATTTAGAAGTATTTAATGAGAGTTGATGTCATACTTGGCCATACTTGGTTGTGTGTCCACGATTGAACACTCTGTGGCTGGGGTCTTAGCAGAAGCACAGGGACCACACTCAATGCATGCAAGTAGCACTGAGGATCAAACTCATGGTCTCACATTTGTAAGGCAGGCACTTTTAGTCACTGAAGCAACCCTAGGATCTCCTGAGAAATTTTAGAATACATTTTTGAGGCTTATCTCATCAATGCATCCTCGGTCTCTCTTCCTAGTAAGAGGAGGTGTCAGGCTGGAGATGCAGTCAGATAGCTAAATTAACCTCATGGGAGCAATTGAAATGTTTATGCACTGATAGAAACAATTTCCCACGCCAAGAAAGACTTAGATATGTTGTCCTACACCAGGAAGATGTTTCCTTTCTTTTGTGTGGAAAATAAGAGTCCATTCCCTCACAATGATGTCATAAATAAAATCACTCAAGTCAAGAAAGAATACAGAGAATGAGAAATACATGTGCAAAACAGCACAGAACTCCCAACATTCTTATAGACTAGCAGTCCTCTATGTCACATAATTTCTCACTTGGAAAATATCAACCTTAAATTATTTTAGTTAGAGCTTCTGTCATGGTTTTCAAAACATGATTTCTCAAACAACACTCCTTTAAAATATCTGCTGTCATGATGCCTTGCTGGTATCATGTTATAGTTGTCCTTAACAACTGTGTTAGTTGATTTGGCATGCTATAACATAATGTTTGGGAGGCTTGAGTAGTGAAGAAATAAAAGATACAGGAAGCCGCAGGGTGGGGTTCTAGAGAGATCTCTCATGACTAGCAGAGAGACAGTGACTTTCCCTTATCCTCATAAGGGTCTTTTTTTCTATGTACCTAAGTGAGGCAGAGAATAATAGATATCTGGCTTTATATTTAGCTCTTCTTAGAGGACATTACAAGGCCTACAGAATTAGGATTCCACCCCTATGACTTCATTTAACCTTACTCATCTCCTGTAAGCTTGTATCTGAATACAGTCATATTAAGAGTTAGGATTTCAACATACTAATTTTGGAAAGTCATGGTTCATTCCTTAATGATAACATTACTGGATTTTCCTACAGAAATCTCTGGCTCACAATGATCTTTATAAAGTCATAAAATTATTTAGAAGTGCCAGAAATGCAAACACCCCTTTGGTATTTAGACCACACCACTATTGAAACTATCGATTAATAGATTTGGCCAACTCACAGTGGGTGAATGAATGATGAATGAGTGATCACAGAAGTGAGGAGGCTCTGTGGGTGAATGAATGATCATAGCAGTGAGAAGACCTGGGTGACCCTCAGGTGTTTCTTTGATGACAGCCTCTGCCCTTCAAACACAGACAAAAAAAAAACCATAAAATTTCCAACTAAATTGATGAGAGGAATTTAACTTCTCTGGCCACTGTCATCTAAGTAAAATCAGTGAGACTCAAATATTTCTTTGACAAGATATAATGTAAGCCTAAAGAGTTTGGGGGATAGAGAAGAGACCACACTCTGGAGAATAGGGAAGGGACCATTATGACAATGATAATTGGAAATGATCACTCTGGATAAGAACTCTGTGCTGAAAGTAGGTAAAGGAAAAAACATGATAACCTCTCAGTACCTGTATTGCAAACCATAGTGCCCAAAAGGAGAGAGAGAGAGAGAGAGAGAGAGAGAGAGAGAGAGAGAGAGAGAGAGAGGCAGGCTGAGAGTGGGAGAGATGAGAGATGGGGGTTGATGGGAAGGACACTGGAAACATTGGTGGTGGGAAATGTACACTGATGGAGGGTTGGGTGTTGGAATGCTATATGCTGTATGACTGAAACCCAACCATGGATGACAGCTTTGTAACTGTGTATCTCAAGGTAATTCCTTTTTCTTTTAAAAAAATAGTTTATACTCAAGCACTCCAACTGAGTTGTAGGGTCTACCTCTATAAATCTTTATTTCTGTTTCTGAACACAAAACGAGCTCTCCACTGGTAATGAGAATAAAAATAACAGTAACATTGATTGTGATAATGATGATAGAATATTTGATCAACAGGTCCTCTATAATGCAAGTGGGTTTTTGGCTAAAAATAGAGACACTCTTCCAACTGATATCGTGCTACTTTTGAGATCATCAGAAAACAGTGTGATTCGGCAGCTCGTCAACCAGCCACTCTCCAAAACAGGTGAGCTGAGATCATGGCCTGTAACTGAGAGGGTTCCTCAGCCAATACTGTGGTTTGATCTCTGATTTTCATGAGCAAAATCCTCAATTTATCATAGTGGTTTATTTTTGGCTCTCTGAACATTCAGTTATTAATATTCCTTGCCCAGATTGTAAGAAAATAATAAAATATAAAAGGCTAGGTTTTCATTAAAGGAAAGGAAAAACGGTGGTATCCTACATACACACTATAAAAGCATGCTCACCTACAAAAATTTAGAATTATCTACTGGTTCAGACTTGGTTGACTCTGGAAGGTTATAAAGGTTAGTGACTCTTCCTTATTGATTGAAAATTTGTATACTTTTCTTCTACACTGACCATTTATTTGAATTTAAATAGAAAATTGCATTTGAATTTAAATAGAAAAATTGCTGTTTTTCTAATTGGAGTTTAAAATTTCTGCTTTTCTTTAATAGTTTTATTTAAATCAACTGAAGTATAATGATCATGACCATCCTGTTATTCATCGATTGCCTCGAGCAGGCTCCAGTAACGTCTCCTTCGTCCAAGCCCTGAGATTTTTTAAAAAGTGCCATATTCAAGGCTCTTTCAGAGTTAGGAGAATGAGACCCATCATTGTTACTGGTATTTGGCATATTGGGTACACCATGGGGAGTTTGCCAGACTCTGCCATGTGGGCAGGTTACATTCGGTAGCCTGCCAGTTTGTCCAAAGTAGGAATGAGATAATAAGATGTCATAATAAGATGTCGCACAGCCGCATTTGCAGCCACGCGGTACTGGAAGCTGGGTTTTATAGTCTCTGAGTCTTGGCCGCTGATGGGATTACACGGCGCCAGGGGGCCAGTTGGTGGGTGTGACCCCTGCCAACTGGAAGGTGGAGGATCAGGGTGGAGGATGCTCAGCCCCAATCCGAACAGGCTTGGAGATCTTAGCCCTGGGACCCGCATTCCTTTGTTCCTCTGCCGGTACCTTCATGCGTGTGGAGAGTGGTCTCAGCATGGTGGTGGCTGGTTCTGGAGGTCTTTGGCTGCCGGAGCCCTGGTTCGGGTGGGGAGGGAAACTCAACCCGCTCCCATCCAAGGGGCCCCGGCAAGGACAGCCAGGCACGGATGCAGGAGACTCTGCATTGTTCTCTGCCGTGTAATCCCATCAGCGACCAAGACTCAGAAGTGTAATAAATAATATTTATACAGTAAAGTTTGATGCATTTTAATTGCACAAACACCTGTAAAATTGTCACCATAATCAATAAGTAGCATATTCATCACTTTGAAATAATCTTTCCTCATCACCTCTTTTTCCTTTCCACCATTCCTCCCTACACCATTCCAGTTGTTTTTGTACCATATGTTTTAAAGATTTTTTTCTTCAGATTAATACCATTGTTGAAGAACAGTGAACTATATAACTCCAAGACTATTACTGAACTCTATTCTTTGTCATTGACATTCATTTTTATGTCAGTACCACACTTCTTGATTATTATAGCTTTACTTTTTTTTTATTTAATCATTTTTTTTATTAGTGAAACACCATGAGGTACAGTTATAGACTTATAAATTTTTGTGCTTGGGTTTCAGTTATACAATGATCAAGTACCCATCCCTCCACCAGTGCCCATCCTCCCCCACCACGGGTCCTAGCATCCCTCCCACCCCCATCCACCCCCAACCCCTACCCCCCGTCCCACCCTGCCGCTGTGGCAGGGCATTCCCCCTTGTTCTCTCTCTCTTCTTTTGGGTACTGTGTTTTGCCAGAGAGGCATTGAGTGGCAATCATGTTTGGTCTATAGACTGCTTTTAGCATGTCTCTCCCACCCTGGGAGGGTCTTCACAACACCCTTTATTTGATGCTCTCTTCTCTATCTGTATAGCTTTACTTTTAAATCTTTTAAATTATATAGTCTAAGTTACCCTAATTTATTCTTGTTTTATACTATAATTCAATTACAATTCCGTTGCTTTTCTATATAAATTTTATAATGAATTTATCACTTCCTACCTTAAATTCTAGTGAAATTCTTATTGAAATTCAATGCTTTTTGTAACTATCCTGTTGATACAAATATTGAATTTTTAAAGACCTTTATTTGACTTGTAAAGAATTTGATGACTAGTGTAGAAATTTGTTAAATTGAAGTTACGAATTCTTTACTAAATTTCTTCTTTTTTAAAATTTTCAAATGAAATTAAAACTTTGCTTCTATTTTGGCTGCTACAAAGAAACAGTATCCGCTAAACTATGGTCTAGCCTCATTAATGTACTTATTGGTGTACTCTATCACACTTCCAAGAAATCTTCAACTTTTCCTGGTCATACTAAAACACAAAAAACAAAAATAGTATTTAACTCAGTGAACATCATAAAGTTGTCCCTCTGACAATCAACTATTGTCTATATACTCGGCTGCATTCAGCCAGTTCCACACCTGGAGTGAAGAGCGCTCTGTGCATTTGCACAAAGCCACCACACACACCACAGCACCTCTCCTGTGTAAGGGATGGGAAGAGCAGATACACTGCTGGCCACATCCCAGACACAGCGCCCTCTTCCCCCACCATCCTCTCTGAGTCATTCCTTTGCAACTAAAAAAACAACGAAGGATTCACTAAAACTGTCATCTTTACTTCACCTAATGAGGTGTGCTGACTGCACACCAAGACCATAAACAGTAGCACATTATTATAAACCTGTTACCTTGTCTTCAACAGTACAAAATGTGTTTTAATAAAGAGTGAGCATGAAGTAAAGTAATTGCTTTGCAATGATACTGAATTTGAAGGGCAGCTTGAAGACTATAAGCTTGATAAGTGCTGGCAGTATGGGTTGGTTGAGGTGGAGGGCCTCAGTACAAGAGTCTGTGGTAACATTTCCAGGTGCCATTTATACCAAACATTTTATCACATATCATCAAAACTCTCCGAGGCAGAGGTTGTTATCATTTAGTTTCAGTCCACTAAATGAAGGATTAGTGGATTGAAACTAATCTCTCATTTAGTGGATTGAAACTGCAACCTTCAAAGACCAAGATCCAAGGTCTTGCAAATCAATGATTAGAGTAGGTATTCAAATCCAGGTCTTCCTGGCTTCCAAAGCTATAATTTCTTTATAACACCATAAGTTTTTCATGGCCTTGAGTTGTATACATTTATATAGACCTAGTACCAGGCACACCTTGCTCTGCACACATTATCAGGCACACATTATCAGAATTACTCCATATATATAACCATTAGAAGGAAATCCAAAACTCACTGCTTTTTGTTCTCCAAGTTATAATTTTTATCTTAATTTAAAACTTTTGTGAATTTTTACATTATATCACTGCATTCTAAAATTTTGAATGAAGTTAACCAAGTATATGCATGTAACTACTATGGGATCAGCCATGCTTATTTTTGCATTTAAGTAAATGGTGAACATCTCACCATTAAGATTTCTAAAAGATACATTAATTTTATCTGCATTCCCATAGGTAATCTGCCACATTCTAAAACTAAAAATATAATAAACTATCAAATGAAGACTTCAGAAAAATCCACCAATACCACAAAGGTAAGAAAATGAAATTTTCGTGGCAATGGGTCTAAGAATCCAGTCCTCGCAGTACCATTATATGTGAACTCCTAAGAGTGAACTTTTTGTTGCCTTTTCTTTAGCGTCTCTCCTTTTAATCTCGCTCTTTTTGTCTTAAACAGTTATTTTTGTTATGGTTGTGTTACTGCTTATCACCAAACTAACCATGCATTCTGACATAACCCTAACTCACACCAAGACCAACTGTGTATTAGTTAAAGCTCAGAGATATGTTCTATGGTTTATCAACTAAAGTTCCAGGAAGACTGTCAGAATAAAGACCTTAACATGAAAATAACAACATTTTGTTATTTCATGTGCTGAAATGCTTACTGCCTGATAACCTGAAGGAAAAATCTTCATAGTTCTTGTTGATCAGAAACACAACCGAAGCCTCACTGTCTTCCTTGGTTTTCTTAGGCTGAAACTGGAGAAGCCATATCTCATGCCAGAGAGACAACTAACATGAAAACACAAACAGCTGCCTCCTATTTTAGAGTAAGATATTAAGTTATAATATATTGTGCTAAGGGACATCATTTTCTCTAAATGAGACAGATCAAAAGCTAATAAATATCAGAGTACTGTTCGCAAAAGAGAATTTTTATTATTCTATTCACTTCTTGTCCTATACAGGTTATAATAGATTGTATTGGTTTAAAAAAAACCTGTGGATTCTTTTGCTTTGGTATTTTTATCTGTAAAATCATCGTACACTACATCTAAACAATGGAGTACTATGTAGCTGTTAGAAAGGATGAAGTCATGAAATTTACATACAAGTGGTACCACGTGGAAAGTATCATGCTAAGCAAAATGAGACAGAAAGAGAGGGACAGACATAGAAAGCTTGCATTCAACTGGGGAACATAAAGTAACAAAATAGGAGACTAACACTTAAGAATAGCTGAGATAAGTACCAGGAGGTTTACTCCATGGCTTGGAGGCCAGCCGCATACTCTAGGGGTAGAGGCAGCTCAGATAGAGAAGGGAGAACCAAATAAAGGGTGTTGAGAAGATCCGCCCAGGATTGGTGTGCTGAAAGTAGTCTATAGACCGAACATGAATGCCACTCAATGCCTCTTTTGCAAACCACAGCACCAAAAGGAGAGAGAGAGAGAGAACAAAAGGGAATGCCCTGCCACACAGGCAGGGTGGGATGGCTGGATGGGGGTTGGGAGGGATACTGGGATTAGTGGTGGTGGAGAATGGGCACTGGTGGAGGGATGGATACTCGATCATTGTATAACTGAAACCCAAGCAAAAAAATTTGTAAGTCTACAACTGTACCCCATGGTGTTTCACTAATTTTTTTTAAAAATAAATAAATAAAAAATCATCGTACACTAGGTCAATCTTAATGATCAAGATTTTCCCATTGTACCAAAATTTCCACTGGAATAAAATGCTAAAAATGTTTGTAATTTGGTGGTAAAATAACTATGAATTCCCTCTCCCATGACCCTAGGGAAACATAGTAACATGCCCAGGAAACGGGTCACTGTGTTCTTGGCATGGATCAAGGTAAACTTTCTTCCTTGGACGATGTGGGATAAAGGAAAGAGGTTTTGCTCTGAAGAACTCTAAATAACTCTCCCCCTTGTCTCATTTCTTATTTATCTCTTCTGATAAAGTCATAGTAAGCAGTCAATGAAAATGAAGAAAGTTCCACCTAAAGCTTATAAATTATTAATAGTACAATTTAATGTGGGGGGATGGGTTAAATACAATGCAATGTATTCGTCAAGCTGGAGTGATAGTACAATGGGTAGGGTAATTGCTTTGCATGTGACCAATGCAGGTTCACTCTCTGGCATCATCCCATATGTTTCCCCAAGCCCACCAGGAGCTGTCTCTGAGTACAGAGTCAAGAGTCAGCCCTGAGCATCACCAAGTGTGGCCCAAAAACAAAACAAAAGAATAAGATAAAAGAAAGAAATTGGGTTAAATTTACTATAACAACTAAATCCATTCCCTACTAGAGTCCTGAAATACTTTTAAAAATAGCTAGGTGGTTTTTTGTTTGTTTGTTTGTGTTTGTTTTTATTGAGTCACCATGAGATATAGAGTTAGTTACAAAGCTGATTATTGTCCAGTTTCAGTCATATAGTGTTCAAAGTAACTATGATACATCTATACAATGGAATACTATGCAGCTGTTAGGAAAAATGAAATTATAACATTTGTTTATAAATGGATAGACATGGAGAATATCATGCTGAGTGAAATGAGTCAAATGGAGAGGGATAGACATAGAATGACCGTACCAATTTGTAGGATATTAAAAAAACATAATATGAGACCAATACCTAAGGACTGTAGAAACAAGGGTCAGGAGCATTGGTCCATGGTTGGAAAACTGCCTCAAATGTTGGGGGAGCTAGTGTGTTTTTTAAGTCCTAAATGTACACGCAATAGACAGCTTGTGCTTAAAACTCTCAAGTAGCACCTCACCCATTTATATGCTGCTGATGCATTCACCTTACATCAGGACTGAAGCCCAGCTGAATCTCTGCAAGTATTTACAGTCAGATAGTTTCTGTTTGGAGTGAATTATGCAGGACCATTATCATAACACTGCGATTACCATCAAGTGCTGTGTGTGGTAGGTTTAAACCATCAGTTCATCAAATTGTTTTACTCTGCAGGCTCAAGTAAAGAGTGGTAGAAAATCCAATATATGGTAATGTATTTGTCAAGTTATTTTTCATTCTGGAGAGAATATAACACTCTCCCTTGTTCCTCAAGAAAAGTTTCATTGCAGTAAGATCTTGTGCAGACTGCCAGCAAGCACATAGATCACCCCATATCTCCAGTGTCTGGCAGATGTTTGCATGACTAAAGGAATGATGATTCACAGATAATCGTAATGAAAGGAGTTCCACACTGGCTGGCCCAGCTGTTTGCAGAAGATCACATCTGAGCCAAGCAAATCCAGAGCTTTGTCAGTTGCCCAATTCCAATATTTGGTTTTCAAAAGCTTGTAAGTACAGGCTTTTCTGTTTCCAACCCTAAAAGGGATCCAGCCATAAACAGTATGTTCTTTTATTTTTTTACCTTGTCAAGAAATAGTGAATTATAATCCTGATCATTGGTATCCTAATTTACTGGGGTTCCAGATCATCCCTGTCATCCAGGAATTGGCAGCTGTTACAAGGCATTGCGATAGAACACTATTTTTTTTTAACATTTTGTGATTTTCAGAACTATAAAATAAGAAAACAAATTAGAACAGACTAGAGTTTGAATAAGATTTTTTATTTTTAATGACTACACCTATAAATTAAACTGCATGGATTAATCAGTCCGTGTTGTCAATATATGATTCTAACAGGGATTAAAGTGGTTGCACTCACAATTTCTATAAAGAATTAGATTTAAAAATTAATGATAGTTAGAAAGTATCATGTGAAGTGAAATGAGTCAGAAAGAGAGAAACAGACATAGAAAGATTGCGCTTTTTTGTGGAATATAAAGTAACAGAATGGGAGACTCACACCCAAGAATAGTAGAAATAAGTACCAGGAGGATTACTCTACAACTTAAAAGCTGGCCATACATGCTGAGTGAAAAGGCAGCTCAGATAGAGAAGGGACCACCAAGTAAAGGGTGCTAGGAGGGTCTGCTCAGGATGGGAGATGCGGGCTGAAAGTAGACTATAGACCAAACGTGATGGCCACTTAATAACTGTATTGCAAACCACAACACCCAAAAGGAGAGAGAGAGCAAAAGGAGATGCCCTGCCAAAGAGGTGGGATGGGGTGGGGTGGAGAGGATGGGGTGGGGCGGAGAGGATGGGGTGGAGCTGGTGGGAGAGATGCTGGGACCACTGGTGGTGGAAAATGGGCACTGGTGGAGGGATGGGTACTAGATCATTGTATAACTGAAATGCAAGCACAAACGTTTGTAAGTCTGTAACTGTACCTCACAGTGATTCACTAAATAAATTTTTTTAAAAATTAATGATAGAAACAGAAAACCATATGGTACCTAAATATTAGAAATTTTCAACTATCCATGAGTGAATATAATTACAAACTATGAGAAAATAGCAATAGCACAGAGGGTAGGGCATTTGCCCTGCACACAGTAGACCTGGGTTCGATTCCTCTGTCCCTCTCAGAGAGCCCAACAAGCTACTGAGAGTATCCTGCCCACATGGCAGATACTGGTAAGCTCCCCGTGGAATATTTGATATGCCAAAAACAATAACAACAAGTCTCACAATGGAGATGGTACTGGTGCCTGCTCGAGCAAATCGATGAACAATGGGAGGACAGTGCTACAGTGCTATTAACTAAAGTTACCCTTAGAATTTACCTTTTTAATGCTGAGTCCCTAGTTATTACCTTTGAATTTTAACAGTGAATCTGTATAAAATATGTTCTAAGTTGGGCTGGAGCAATAGTCCAGTGGGGAGGACATTTGCCTTGCACTCACCTGACTGGGTTCCATCCCTGTCATCCCATATGGTCCCCCAAGCGACACCAGGAGTAATTCCTAAGTGCAGAGCCAGGTGTAACCCGTGAGCATCACCATGTGTGACCCAAAAAGAAAAAAAAATGTTCTAAATAAAATTCTCATCAATGCAGAGTTCCCTCCATTTATTAATTATGAATTAATCTGAGCACATGTAAAAAGTAAAGTAAAGGCCCTCCCGTTGATCGTCGATTTGCTCGAGCGGGCCCAGTAACATCTCCATTGGAGACTTTGTTGTTACTGTGTCTGGCATATCCAATACTCTCGGTAGCTTGCCAGGCTCTCCGAGAGGGGCGGAGGAATCGAACTTGGGTCGGCCATGTTGGCTGCGTGCAAGGCAGACGCCCTACCCGCTGTGCTATTGCTCCAGCCCATGTAGTGTTCAGAATATAATCTTATAATTGATATACCTATAAATGCACACATTTTAGTAGGCGACATTGAGGAATTAATTTTTCTTAAATATTCTAGTACTCCTTGATGGATTTGTTATCTAAAATGGCAGTGGGCCAGCCTCATTTCGTTCGTTGCATCAAGCCAAATAATGAACGTCAGGCAAGAAAATATGATAGAGGAAAAGTTCTGCTACAGCTTCGCTACACGGGGATTTTGGAAACAGCAAGAATTCGAAGGCTGGGATACTCACATCGCATACTTTTTGCAAACTTTATAAAGCGGTATGTTGATTTCTGTCATCTTTCCTTATGGATCAGAAGGAAAAGTAAGCCTGTCTGTTGGCGAAGGGTGACTGTTATAATTGAAAGTAGCTTCTTTAGGAGATTGAAAGTGGAAACAAATGCTTACGTATATTTCAAAATCCCATGTTTCTATTAATGAACAGCACAAATTATGACACATGAATGAGGAGGAGGTAATTAAGTATATAGAAAACATGTGAATAGTTGTTTGGAATAGAGGAAGTTCCAGAAATAAAAAGGCTAAACCTTTTCTCTGCCACTAATTTGAAAGCTGTCGTCCAAATTGGCAGAACCATAGGAAGACTAAACAACTTGCAAAGGCCCTGGGGAGGTGTAAATAGGACTAAATAACCCTCCTCTGCACTGCCTTACCCTTTGAATAAACCTCCCTGTTCTGGTGCAGAATTCATCTGACCTCTTGTCAGTTCTGTTGTGGATGAACTCTTCTATTTTGTAATCCCAAAAAAATGATCTTAAAGGAGAACACGCAACATGAACTTGACTTTCACCATACACTGCCTTACTACAAATATTTATATGAATGATGCCCCAAGGTTACCACTTGAATTAGCTCTAATTTTCTACAGGTACCTACTGACAATGGTTCGGGTACTTAAACTCTAATACAACCCGAACTTACAGAAACCATTAATATAACAAACGAGGTACATACATATGCCTTAAATGTATGGGAGGATCCCCCCAGGATGGGAGAAGCATGCTGAGTTAGAAAGCTCAGATTTAAATCCCAATTCTGCCACTTGTAAATTTTAAAGTCACTTGAGTTTCATAAGCTTCAAGCTTTGATTTTTCATCTGCATATTGGCATGATCAATAGTATCTACACTAAACAGGGTTATGAGGTTACAGTTACATCATCAAATGTAATTATATATGTATTTTATGAAATTCACTGTTAAAACCAAATATTATCAATAGATATCAATATTCTTAATGTCAATAATACATTTGCCTCAACCCCAAGCTCCCATAATTGTTACCTATAATTAGAAACAAGGGGTGTGGTTCGGAGTGGCTATGCAGGCAAAGGAAAGACCGCAAAAGCTCAGGGGCATGAGTGAACATGGCTCTTTGAAAAGTTTAAAGCACTCTTTATTTTATTTTATTTATTTTTAATGAATCACAGTGAGGTACAGTTACAGACTTACAAACTTTCATGCTCCAATGGAATACTATGTAGCTGTGAGAAAGGATGAAGTCATGAAATTTACATACAAGTGGTACTACATGGAAAGTATCATGCTAAGTGAAATGAGTCAGAAAGAGAGTGATAGACATAGAAAGATTGCATTCATCTGGGGAACATGAAGTAACATAGGAGACTAACACCCAAGAATAGCCGAGATAAATACCAGGAAGTTTACTCCATGGCTTGGAGGCCAGCTTCACACTCTAGGGGTAAAGGCAGCCCAGATGTAGAAGGGAGCACCAAATGGGGGTATTAGGAGGATCCCCCCAGGATGGGAGAAGCATGCTGAGACTAGACTCTAGACTGAACATGTTGCCACTCAATGCCTCTTTTGCAGGCCACAGCACCCAAAAGGAGAAAGAGAGAACAAAAGGGAGTGCCATGCCACAGAGGCAGGGTGGGATGGGGAGATAAGGGCGGTGGGAGGGGTACTGGGATCAGTGGTGGTGGAAAATGGGCACTGGTGGAGAGATGGGTACTCTATCATTGTACAACGGAAACCCAAGCACAAAAAATTTGTAAGTCTACAACTGTACCTCATGGTGTTTCACTAATAAAAAAAATAATAAAAAACTTTTGTTCTTACATTTCAGTCATATACGTACAATGACCGAGTACCCATCCCTCCACCAGTGCCCATTCTCCACCACCAATGATCCCAGTATCCCTCCCACCACCCCCACCGTATCCCCCACTCCTCATCCCACTTCTGTGCCAGGGCATTCCCTTTGGCTCTCTCTCGTTTTGGGTGTTGTGGTTTGCACTAGGGGTATTGAGTGGCCATCATTCGGTCTATAATCTTACTTTCAGCCCGCATTTCCCATCCCGAGTGGGCCCTCCAAGCATCTTTTACTTGGTGCACTCTTAAAAGTGGAGCACATGCTTCCTCTGGACAATGACAAAAGGTGAGGCTACAAAGATGAGCAGGGCTAGAGAGGAGGAGAGAACTTTCACAGGAATCCTCAGACGTGTCAATAACTTTAAATCACTCTTTAGAACACACATTACCTTTCCATTTTCTATTATTTTTACACTTCTCTACTCATGTGCATATACATTAGAGGCCTCCTGAATAGAGTCAGGAAAAGACATGGTTGGATTTTCACTTCATGAAAATAATTACACAGCAGTGGAAGCTGGTAAAGGAAGGAAGAGAAGGGAGTGAAGATGGTCATAACCTGTTAGGGGGCAGTTCTAGAAGACAAGATGATGGAGAGTTAGTTTAAGCATGTGGCTTTAAGAAAGGAGAAAGACAGGGATTCCAGAGACCTTTAAGGATGTTGGGAAGAATCTGGGATGGCACATGGATTTTTTTGTTTCAGTGCCTTTTTTAAAAAGTGGTATCATTTACAGAGGTAGAAGAAAGAAAGGGTGAGAGATTCTGATGACTTTGGGGGTGTCAGTGGATAAGAAGTAATGTGTTTAGTATATATGTAAACAGGGATTAGATAGAGACATTAGAATCATCACAGAAAGGTATCCATGCATTTAGATGAGATACCTGTGGAGAGAGCTCAGAAAGAAATGCAGTATTGCAAAATGCTCCCACTTAAGCCTCCCATCTAAATACAGGGCATGTCACCGTGACTAAGAGGGAGAAGCAGGGAACATGCAGAAACCCTGGAGACACTCTGAAGAGAGACAGTGTGGTCAACAGTAGCAAATGATGCAGAAATAACAGCTGTGAAAGAATGGTCTTAAGATCTCATCGCTAGAAGATCAAGTGTGGATTAAAAAAAAAGTTATTACGCCTCTGTGGTTAAATAAGAGTGTTGGTACTGAGAGGGGAAGGGGAGGAGAGAAAAGGAGATTGTTGTTGTGAATAAACTTTTTGTGTAACTCCAGAGCTAGTAGAAGATGAGGAGCATTAAGATCATTTTAGCTGAGAGAGATTGAGGTGGGGGATGTTTTGCATGAAAAAAGCCAGAAGAAAGAAGTGGGGTTGAAAATTTCAGAAGTTAAAGAGATGGCATCTAGAACTCAGTCAAATCGAGAAAGAATCTTCCTTCAAACGAGGATAGAAGAAAAAAGAAATGGTCAATAGTGAGCCAATAAGTTTGTCAAAGGACAAGTTCAGTGGAACTTGGGTGTAGTCACTTCTGGTCAAGTACTTGAACTGCTGAGAGTGGTGCAGGCAAGGGTGGGTGAGGCCTGGGCAGTTTAGGAGAAATTGAGTCTAAATCACTTTGCAAGCAAAGTGGCCATGCACCAAGTCTGGATTCTGAACATTCTCATAGGCCCAGCTGAATCAGAAAGCTGCATATTCATAGACAAGTACATGATGGTTTTCTCTGACATTGGTCAGACAACAGAGAAAAGAAACATACGAGCAGAGATTTCAAAGAAATGGGTTCCCATGTTGGCAGACAGTTGTGGGAAGCTTCTGTAGTGAATCATTGTGATGAGCCAAGAGATTCTGACTATCATATCTGGTATCAAAGGAATGGTTAATAGAAAGGATGGAGTAGATACTTGGGTCACAAGGATTTACATGCAAGTTGAGTCCTGAAGTGAATCAGCAGAAGGACAGGGGAAGGACAGATTCATTCTGTCAGATTCATTCCAAACCATTCTAGACCTCGATTCTTCAAAATGACTATCAGTGTCTGGTTTATCTGCTAGATTTAAGGAGATCAAACCTGATGGAACTGAAACATGTTACTACTTTTATCCAAGGGCTAATTTTTTAGATAAAGAAATTGATATTCGACAGAGTTCTGTAATGGGTACAAGTTTACGCAGATCATTCGTAAAGATACCTAGACTCAGACTCCCAGAGAGAACTCTCCATCACACCGTGCCAACATCAATCATGGCCTCTGTTTTCAAATTCAGACCTTATTAATGCTTATTTCCCCTGGACAGGTTAATCATCTTGCAGCAAGTTAAATAAAAATATGGGTTGTTGAAACCCTAGAAATCTGTCTTTGTTTATTAGATTATTGACCAATCAAAATTAGTTTTTCTTACCTTATTTCTCCCCTGTACTCCACTAAAGCTTATGGTTTCTTTAGGTTGTCACCTACATTAACCCCCATTTCCCATATTCCCCTTCATTATTGATGAGCTAATAGAGAAAAACTCTGGAGCAAGATAGAGGGTAACTCAAAGATAGACAATGCCTTCATTCAACTTCAAAATAAGCTTCCAGTGTTTCAGTGAAATTGGGTTGGAGCAATAGCACAGCAGGTAGGGCATTTGCCTTGCACAAGGCCAACCCGGGTTCGATTTCTCCAGCCCTCTTGGAGAGCCCGGCTAGCTACCAAGAGTATCCCGCCCGCATGGCAGAGCCTGGCAAGCTCCCCGTGGCATATTCAATATGCTAAAAACAGTAACAGCAAGTCTCACAATGGAGACTTTACTGGTGCCCACTCAAGCAAATCGATGAACAACAGGATGACAGTGCTACAGTGCTACAGTGGGGGAAAACAAAAATAAAAGCTTCCCCTCTTTTTCCTGGCCTGGTAGTCCTACTTGTAGGGGACAGAGAAAGGTTTCAGTGGGTTTTTTAATTACACATTAATTTTTTTTTTAATGAATTACAAGTTTTGTGGAAGTGGTTTCAGTGGTGAGTGTTGAAAAACAAATGTTAAGGTAAAAAAAGCACACTGATCTGAATTTGTAACAGACTGGAATTCAGGTTATTCTAAATACCTCCATCATCCCCTTTTTCATGGCTGGGGAGTGTCTCCCTTCCCTGCCCATAGTTGTTAAGTTTCCACCATCATATTTAGACTCTAGATCTTTGTAGAGCATTAACCAACCTCTCTCCCCTTTAAAGCTACCAGGTTCTCTGCTACAAGTGGAATGAAGAACCCCCAGTGAGCGCAAACACCTGTGCTGCCATTTTGGAAAAAGCTGGTCTCAGTAATTGGGCTCTTGGGAAAACAAAAGTAATGTTTTTATATAATTTCAAAAAGAATTAATAAGTATGTTGGGTTTGCTGAAATTATAACATTTCATAATGATTGAAAATACTATGGCTTTTCATGTTTAAGGATCTCCAGTTTAAAGTAAATTGATAAAAGGAAATCAATTCACTTTATTGACTACTCTTACTGTATTTACTGTTATTTATTATATGTTTTTGTCTGTTGGTGATTGGATCTGAGAGCATGTGGAATCTTAACTTGCTTAATCCTTGTAGTATAAAATAACAAATCATAACCAATTTTGGATTTGCAACTAAAACAAGTGACTACTTGAAGAAAGAATTATTAGACTTCTCAGGTAATGCCAAAGTATTACAAGATAAAAATAGTAAGACAAACGGTGGTACCAGGTGTTAGAGGTACAGTAAATGTATCACTGTGGGTAAACATAAGCTAAGGCAAAGAAGTACTCTTAGATGACTAAAAATAACTATTCTCAACGACACCATAGAGTATATGTATATACTATATGTATATATGTATATGTATATGTATACATATATATATATGCAAACATCCACATTTTCTTTTTTTTTTCTTTTTGGGTACACCCAGCGATGCTCAGGGGTTACTCCTGGCTCTTCACTCAGGAATTACTCCTGGCCGTGCTCAGGGGACCATATGGGGTGCTGGGAATTGCACCCAGGTCGGCCGCGTGCAAGGCAAACTCGCTACTGCTGTGCTATTGCTCCAGCCCCAAACTTCCACATTTTCAAAAAAAATTTATGATATTTGTGCCTTGAGAGATAAGGGTGGAGAGTTTTCAGTTGAGAAACTCGTCCTGTAATAGTTCAGGCACTTTTTAATGCCCATCTTAAATTAAGTGCCCTACATGTTCAGTAATTCATATTGACTTTAGTATTTAGTAAAGAAAATTAGGGACATTAAAAAGATTTGTATTTCATTCACACCATTTTCTTTTATGTATTCACAAAGATGAATTTCATCAAGTTGAAATCTCATGATTTATGGTCTGAAACACATGCCTAACTTCCAGTGGAGTTTTAACTTACAAAAAGGCCCTTTGCAGTTCTATTTTCACATGATATTTAAGTAGCATTTTAAAGCTATTTGTATTTTTCCACTTCACCTTTTCTAACTCATTAAGATGGATAAAAGAATTCAATATAGAAACATTCCTAAAGCTGTGCAATATATATATAATTATATAACGACCTTTTTAAGCAGATTGAATTTTAAATGAATCGTCAACAATAGAATGAACTAAATGCATTAACATCTAGAGACCTGTAGAAATTAAAATCAGATTTAATCAAAACTAATAATGCCAAACTGTTTGCCTGTGATGCCGTGCTTTCAAGTAATGGCACGCTGAGAGGTTCTACAGTTTTCAGCTGCTAAATCTGAAGTGACTTTCTTAGTGTTTTCAATAAATTTCTTTGAGGTTACTTTAACTACCAAATTTATGCATTAAAAGATAAACTTCCTGTTACCTGAAGGAGGCTGAAAACTCTTAGATGAGAACAACGTGAGACTCACTCCTCCAATGCTCTGATTTTATTTGCTCTGATTTTAGAATCAAGTCAAACCTCTTTTCTTTGCGGTGATCAGTAGGTCTAGTGGGATCTTTGTTAACTCTGTGCCACTCTCTGCCTGATTTCCTCGGCTGGTAACACTAAGAGCCCCTAAGAGAGGGGAGTTTTGTCTCCCTTTTGTCCCTAGCTAATAAGTATATATAATAAGGATCACTAAATATGTGGTGTATGGCCAATGTAATTGTTCTCTGTCATACAAGTAGATTTTTTTGTTTGGTTGTTTTTTTGTTTGTTTGTTGTTTTGGTTTTTGGGTTACACTCGGCGATGCACAGGGGTTATTCCTGGCTCGTGCACTCAGGAATTACTCCTGGCGGTGCTCAGAGGACCATATAGGATGCTGGGGATCAAACCTGGGTCGACTGTGTACAAGGCAAACGCCCTACTCACTGTGCTCCAGTCCCACAAGTAGATTTTTATAAGTTTTTTATTTTAATTTGGGAAATAGCATTCATAATTTTAGCTTTTTTTAAGCATAAAAATTAGCTTGTGCACCTTGCTAGAATTTTGGTGAAAGAACTCAACCTCCATTACACTTAGTGGCCCACCTAACATCAGCTAATTGTTGAAATTTAAAAGAATATTGCTAGTATGTTTTTTCCAAGAGAATTCTCTACAAATCTCTATCATTAAAGCAGCATCTAGACTAAAAAGCACAAGAAAGTAATTCCCAAAATCGAAAGATGATTCAGAATATAATTTATTTTTTCATAGCATAATACCTGTTGTTCATCTGTGTGCCATAACTTTGTTTTAATTTTATTATTTAAAGGTTTTCCTAAAGTACTATCATGTGGAACAATTAAATTTAATGCGGAAGGAAGCCTTTGACAAGCTTATTTTTATCCAAGCTTGTATCAGAGGATTCTTGGGGTCAAGAAGATACCAAAAAATACAGGCAAAAAGAAGAAAAAGTGCAATACTAATACAGTCAGGTAATCTCTTAACCATCTTCCAATGAAAATCTAGTATTCTACCTATTTTCCATAATTACCACACCATATTTGATGGGGTTCAGACAGTAGACAACAAATCATAGAAGCCCAACAAGCTACCGAGAGTATCCTGCCTGCATGGCATAGCCTAGCAAGCTACCCGTGGCATATTCGTTATGTAACAGTAACAATAATGGGTATTCTGTTTAGACACAAGAATAAAACCAAATCTTATATAAAAATCTCAAACTTTTATGTAACTTTTGTGTTAGATCCCAGACTTTTGATACTGTCTCTAAATTAAATCTAAATCAAATTGTTTCAGTGATGGACACTTTTAATATTTGAATGAATGTTTTATTTCAGATAAAATAATTTGATTTAAAATTTTCCATCATGTATTAATGAAACACAGTTGACCTATTATGAAAGATATGACAAGTGATTAAGTTAATCATGTATTTCAAGAGTCATATTATAATCTATTGGATAATAAGATTTTTCCTACTTTATTCTAAAGGTTACACTTGCCATAATTTTTGACAATTTAATTAAATCTCCTTTTGTTAAAGGATGGCATCCAGTTATTTCTATTAACTGTGGAAAAAATGTTTAGAACCACATATCACAAATTTTAATTGAAATATATTGACCAACTTGTATTTTTCCTATTTTTCTGTAAGAAACCAAATTTAGAACTTTACTTGATATAGTATCTTTTTAATTTTTTTTACTAGAAGACCATGGTTAAAATTACTGTTAAAACTGTGTACTTATGTATTACAAATAGTGCACTCCGCTTTTTCTAGTCTGGTTTATTCTTTCATTTTTAGATGCTAGATGTGGCCCAATGGATCGATTTTATGATCCACTGTGATTTGCAGCCTGTGTTATGAAGGCCTCTGAAGTGGTGGACAGAATAGATGACTGACCTTCAAGCGATTCATGTTTAGGGCCACTTCTCTCTGTCCCCACTGGCTTTCTATTAACCCTTTTGAAATTCTTAGCTCTTAACTTCTCATTTGGACATCCCAATGCAAACAAGCAAATGCTGTAATTTAAGATCTGATTCTTTCCAAACAAATCCAAATCTAATAAAACACTCAAAAATATTTTTCATGACTCATTTGGCAATTATATATATGTATATTACGATCCCAATCATCCTGTTGTTCGTCGATTTCCTCGAGCAGGCACCAGTAACGTCTCCTTCTTCCTAGCCCTGAGATTTTAAAAGAGCCATTTCAATGCTCTTTCAGGATTAGGAGAATGAGACCCATCATTGTTACTGGTATTTGGCATATTGAATACGACACGGGAAGTTTGCCAGACTCTGCCGTGTGGGCAGGATACTTTTGGTAGCCTGCCAAGTTCTCCAAAGGAAAATAATAAGATGGCGCGCGGCCCTGGAAGCTGGGTTTTATAGTCCCTGCGTCTTGGCCATTGATGGTATATGTGTGTGTGTGTGTGTATATATATATATATATATATATATATATATATATATAGTATATGTATATATGCACACATAAAAATATATGCATTTTATTCTTCCTACTTGTATTTTCCTGCAGAAATATTTTATGTGTTTGGTTATGGAAGCCTATCCCAACATGGATCATGTTGCAGACTCTATGCTAATTGCTCTGAATTGTCTTTTGATACAATTCTTGTGTGTACAAAGTAAGGCCGTTTTTGTTGAAACTTATTTAGAAAGATGTGAGGGATCAATTTGACAGGCACAGTCACCGTCCTCCTATTGTTCATCAATTTGCTCTAGTGGCCCAGTAACGTCTCCATTGTGAGACTTGTTGTTACTGTGTTTGGCATATTGAATACGTCACGGGTACCTTGGTAGCTTGCCAGGCTTTGACATGCGGGGGAGATACTCTCTGTAGCTTGCCGGGCTCTCCGAGAGGAGTGGAGGAATCGAACCTGGCTCTGCTGGGCCGGCTGCATGCAAGGCAAACACCCTACCCGCTGTGCTATTGCTCCAGCCCTTTGACAGGCACATTACAAAGTTTCTGTGGTTGCAGCTTAGCTCAGGTTTTCCGTTTTTTCAAGTCTCTGTTTGGAATATATGGTTATACCACTCACCCATATCACCAGTATAACTCAAATCCTGATGTTTGCCCACCAATTAGCTCCCCTTTTTTCTTCCCCCCTAGAAATTTTTCTGTCTTCTTCCTCTCTAAACATTGGGGTCATGGGTAATCTAGGCATCCCGCCTTTTACTACAGCACATTTCCTCATCCAGTATTCTGTATACCACAGATAAGTGAGATCATCCTGTATTTGTCTTTCTTCTTATGACTTACTACACTCTACAGTTCCAACCACATTGCAGAAAATTTCATGATTTCATCATTTTGTGCAGCTGCATAGTATTCCATTGTGGTTGTATACCACATCTTCATAATCCATCTGTCTTTGTACACGTAGGTTGATTCCATATCTTAGCTGTTACACTGAGTGCAGCAGTGAATAATGGTGTGCATATGTCCTTTTGAGAGAGTGTTTTTTATGTCCTGGAGTTATATTCCCCAAAGGGAAATTTTTGGGTCATGGTCATATGATCAATTTGTTTTTAAATGTTAACTGAATTCTGAAATCTATCTGATTCCAAGAATGATTGGTCAAAGTTTCAAACACATACGTAAATAGCAGGGATTTTTTTTTCTGGAAATAGTTACCAGTGGATTTTTAAGCAAATTAGTACATGAGTATATATGATCTTTTGATCAACTTAACACATCTGTTTTAGTTGCAAATTAGTCCTTTCCTATATATATATGAATATATATATGATATTTCAATTACCTCCTTTTTTGATTTTTGGGCCACACCCAGTAATGTTTAGGGGTTACTCCTGGCTCTGCACTCAGGAATTACTCCTAGCAGTGCTTGAGGGGCCTTATGGAATGCCAGGGATCAAACCTGGGTCAGCCACATGCAAGGCAAACACCCTGCCCAATATACTATCACTCCAGCCCCTCAGTTACTTTCCTAATATTGCTTATCATCTACAAGAGTCTTAATGAATCCCATTTTCAGGTTGTTAATTTCATTTTCTTCTTTGATATTGATGACCCCCCCAAAAATATCAAACTAGTTTTTAACCACTTTAAGTAATGTCATATTACTTATTATTCTTAAAGCTTCTCTGGCTCTTCTGTGTTCCAGCTGCAAGAGGACATCTGGTCAGGAAACAGCAGAAAGAAATTGTGAACATGAGAAACACAACTGTCACAACAATTCAGACTCATGATCAAGAATTTGACTATAAGAAAAACTTTGAAAATAAAAGGTATATGATGCTGATTTTTGTGCCATGTTGACATTCTATATTTTTCAGGTTTCTGATATCTCAAAATAAAGGTCAGTTCTTCTTATACCGGGCTCCTAAGTTCAGTGAACACTTACTGAGCACTGTGGCATTTTTAAATTTTGTTTGTAATTTCACTGACTTCATGGCAATTCTAACACTTTTCAACTCTAATTTTTCTCTCCTGAAGCTTCTGTCAGACTGCCTTCTAGGTTTCTTATCCTAACTCTGAGTTTCCTTTGCTGATTCCTCTCCTGCCAAGCCCCATAGGTAAACCATCTTCCACATGTAAATAATGTTCCTCTGCTCTCTCTTGAGTTCCCCTTGTAATTAGTAAGGCATTGGTCCCCTAAATCATAATATATTAGCCAAAGAATATGTGCATACACTCTCCCTATATAACTATGCTAGTCTCCTTTTATACTAACAAATACTCCTTTCTATCTGAAACATAGAGGCACTTAACAGGTTCATTATTTCTTGTATTCTAGCCACCTATTTATAAGGTCTTTGCCTTCATGGATCATAATGATTTATTTTCCTTTATTGCTAATTGTAAAACATTCCAGAAGGTATCAAAGGGTCAGTGCCTTCCTTAGGAGCAAGAGGATAAGTATTATGTGTTGCTCCTGTATTTCAGAAGTCTGTGTGAAATATAAGCAAAAAAGAGAGAAAGATGCACTACTTTACTATTTGTTGAAATTACTACTCTTAGAGTTTAAATTTCAGCTTGTAGATCATAAGTCTGATAATCAATTAGGTACTCATTTTTTACCACTTTTCTACTGAGGACACCAAGATTTAGCTTTTAACTTAGCAACTACTGATTAAGCATCCACAATACAGACAATACACTTTAGAGAATAATGTGTAAATAAAAAACTGTCCCTATACTGGTCTGGGAGAGAGATTTTTACCTTTGTTGAAATAGGCATCATAGAAGGTGGAACACAATATCAGGATTAAAACAAAGTGCAGATAAAGAACAACGGGATTCTCAGGTGAAAGCTAGAGGGAGACAAGAGAAGAGAAAGGAGGGGGGCCTGACATAAACCCCCTTCCAGAGACAGACATATGCAGCCTAGAGCACTCAGCCCTCCGTGACTTCTGATTTTGCTTTCCCCCAGATACCCATAGCCCTGGTTTTCAGTTCACATGTCAGTAGCAAACGCACCAAACCTCGAACTCTAAAACCACAATTGGCAACTGGAGAAGGGTTCAAACCTGCAAACTTCTCTGAGAGGTGCCAAAAGATATCTCTAATTCTTTTTAGACTGGAACTCTAACTAGTATAAACTTGGAAATATCATTGCACACCATCCTTCAGCTTACCTCAGTCCCTTGATGGATGGTCCTGCACCATGAACCCAGACATGTGGGATGGACTAGGATATTGTAGCTCTGTGTAAAGTAATGATTCACCCATAAGGCATATTTGAATATCAAAAGCAATGTATAATTTGGGGAAGGTATTATAATTGAGGAACTTTATTAATTGTATTATGATTAATATTTTTGTGATACTTTGTATACTAACAGTTTTGTAATTGTATTTTGACTAACATTGGCATTCTTAGAGGAGGGTGTTAAAAAGATAATCAGAACATAAATATAGTAATACACCAAATTATGGGTTCTTGTTCCCTTTCTATTTCTCAAATCCCTGACAGGACAGTGAGGACTCTTTTATGATTTTTGTATAAATCTGAGAATGTCCCAGTAGGGCTAGGACATGGTTAATAAAATTAGAAAAATTCAGCCTCCGTAACTGTTTTCCTTAACTGGATCAAAGAAGAGTCATTTACAAATAGATTTTAAAAAATAATAATAAAAAATATTTTTTTAAAAAACTCTCCCTGGTTTTCATTTGCCAAAAGAAAATTTGAGGACAGCACTCACCCCCAAGTAACATGTCAGAGTCTCAGGTTATAACATTTTTGCCATAATACCTGTCAATGGTAATACTGATCTTGGGAGGATTTTCCCTGCTGAAAATATGTCTTAAAAAATTTAATAAGGTATAGTGAATATTTTATCTTCAAGTTAATGGGAAATCATTTTGGAAATATATTGGCAAAGTGACAACTGCGAAATGCTTGCCAACATATTACATAATCATGAACTGTAGTCGGGACACTGCCTTTCCTTGAATTTTGTTAGATAACTCCTGTGATCTGTAGGCCTGGAGTTTATTAAAAAACAGGTCAGTCAAGTGAACAGAGCCTGCTAACTTGTGTCTAACCTAGATGTATTTTTCACAGTTTCCCTCACTATAAGCACTTAGTGTTTGAAAAGGACAGCTCTTAAAGTGGCTGAATTCATTGAGTTTTGTAGTTTGCTAAATGAATATATGCCGGGACATTTTCACTCAAAATTGAAGATGCTATTCTCATTATTTGAGTAGCCATCACAGTTGTCACTAGAGAGAACATATTAGGAAACTTGAGTTATGTGAGTTAAGGTTTTATTTTCAGCACCCTGTGTTATTTTTCTCCATTACCCCCTACACACACACACACACACACACACACACACACACACACACAATGTTTTGTGGCCTATAGCTATATCCAAAAGAGGTGATAAGCTCTAGTTGAGTATTATCTATTCAGATGCAATATGTTTCCTACAGGAACTCTTTTGTGAAGAAAGAGACAGAATGGACAGTCTCTTCTCAGGCCATCCCAGCTCCAAATAATAAAGCAAGTACATCTATGGTGAAGACATCAATTTTCAAAGCTGATGGGGAGACCACTATTGAGAATAACAACAGAGTATATCAGACTCTGAAAAAATTCAATAACATGTCTGGGGAAGAGGCTTGGGCAGAAGTGAGCCCCAAACGGAAGTCTATTCAACACTTGGAAGAGGATAGTAAGATGGGAACAGAGGAGAGAGAGGATGCTGTGGGGCAGAATTACTATCAGGAATATACAGAGGAAAAGAATTTTGAAGACTCAAAAGCAGCATATCTAGAAAGGAAGGGTCTAGCAGAAAGAGCCAGCTACCAGGGACTGTGCTTAGCTGATAGTGACAGGAAGCCATCTTCTGTTAAAAAATCTCTGGAACCGAGTATTAGCCAAAGGTCAGTGTATCAAAATCCCAGTTACCAGGAAAAAGCAAAGAGGACATCTGTGGTCACCCAGAATGCATCACTCTGCAGCCAGGACCAAAGCCATCTGAGACAGAGGGTGGTCACAGAGAGGCAAGAAAAACCAGTGACACCAGGTCTTGAAGAAGACGAAGCCGCTCTGTTCATTCAGAGCAGATACCGGGGTTATAGGAGAAGGCAGCAGTTAATGAGGGATCGGATGGCATCTCTCAACGATCAAAACAGAGTCTCAGCATTAACAGAGGCAGAGAAGAACTACCATGGCCTGTATTGCTATCCCTCAAAATATGAGGCTGTCACACCAAAGAATGACAGTGACTCAGGTGCAAATTTAGACCAAGAAGTCTACGATTTAGCCATATTTTCAAAACAGGTATGTAAATCAAATATGTCTACTTGTGAAAATCTCTGGGAATCACACCATAACAGAATCAAATAAGTAGCTAATTCACTGACATAGTGTTTCATATATCAAAATGAAAAACTGCAAAAATTTTAATTAGCTGTCTCTAAGGTTGTGCTTTTCAAATAACCAAAGTTTGTTTGTTTTTTAAATGAATCTACTCAGATGAATTAGTATAAAATTTGATGGAAATCTTTTGGACAAAAGAACATAAGTCTTATACCACATATTAAAATATTATAATTTCTGGGCTATGCATGTGTTTCAGTAGTACACCACATGCCTACATCTATCTTATCCCCAGCAACACAAAGTAAATAGGTAAATAAATCGAATATTAATATATGGCAATTCAAATTTTCATGATCTGAGATTCTTACATTATAGCTTTAAAAAAATTATATCCTCTAAAGTCTCTTCTTTCTCAGTTCTGAGTTTTGTTTTGTTTTTTTTTTTCTTTTTGGGTCACACCCAGCTATGGACAGGGGTTACTCCTGGCTCTGTACTCTGTACTCTGTGTTACTCCTGGCAGTGCTCAGGGGACCATATGGGATGCTGGGAATTGAACCCAAGTCAGCCACGTGCAAGGCAAATGCCCTATCTGCTGTGCTATCTCTCTAACTCCTCAGTCCTGAGTTTTAAGACAACATAGATATCAAAGAATTTATGGCCATAGGAGGGCATACTTGCAATAGACAAAAGTGATTTTTGAGGAACCATAAGGAAAACTACAGTCACATGGCAATGAGAAATCATAAATAAAACTAGAGTCACAAAAAGTCCTTCTAGAAGAGTATTTCAAGCATGCTGTTGGTAGAAATGTTTCTACTATAAGGTCAGTCCATTTTAGAGCATGGAAGTCTGATAAGTTCATCTTCTGGAGAGATCATGGGGGACTGCTCCTGTTAATGCTGGTTCCAGTTGTTGCTCTCTTTTTCTCTAGGAATTTGATCTTAAGAAAACCACTATAGGGCCAGAGATATAGTATAGGAATAGGTGCTTGTCTTGCATCCAACAAACTCTAGTTCTATCCCTGGCATCACATATAGTCCCCTAAGCCTGCAGAGCTAGGCATAGCACACTGAACTGGTGTGACCCTAACTCTTCCCAGAAGAAAACCACTTTATATGCCACATCTTTATTTTCTCCTATGCAAACTAAAAGCTTTTACACTAAGTGAACTCTAAAATACATATTAGACATATTACATTTTTGCATGGGATTTTATGCATGGGATTATCCAGCTAATCGACAGTATGTAAATTGTATGTAAGCCATAAAATAAAGACCATTGCATATGAAGTTAGTTCAAGTTTCCTGAACCTCCAGATTCAGGTTTTTGTCTCTGGTGGTGGTTGGTCCTATGAGAAACACAGTAATGGCTCTTGGATTCCTCCTTGGTGTTAGACACATCCTATGTTCCAAACATCTTCAACTTCTAGCTGTAAGTAGAGCTAAATAAACCCATCTCTCTGATGAATTTATTTAGTCATTTCCTGTTCAGAAAAGTATGAGAGGAATGCATATGCAGAGAGCTGGCTAACAGCTCCATAGAATGGATTCAGCACTCCAGGAGGCAAGTTAGCTAGCGGCAGAAAAAAAATGGCCTCGAGGTCATTTTCCTTCAGGCCGGCAGAGGCTGAGGTCAGGAGATGGGAAAAAGAAGAATCAGCCCTAAGTGAGGTGAAGAAAACCCAGAAGGAAAGAAAGGAAAGCAGGTTAACAGGGTCATAAGCATAAGCATGGTAAGGGTATATGCCAGCATTCAGGGACCCCGGAAAGGGAGTTGATCAGGAGAGAAGGCTTCATGTAGCTGACATGTTTGGTTGATAGTTTATGCGACCAAGATTGTGATGGGCAAGTAGCATGAAAAAGAGAAAGCCTTGTCCAATGGGCTCTATGTGAGACCTTGGAGAGTGGACTTTGGAGAGAACCAGCGCTGCTGCTCATGTGCTTACAGATCACTATACCTATGCCTCTCTGAATTCTTCTCCCTGATTTAATCTGACACCAACCTTCTTTTTAGATATCAAAGTTATCTGAAGACTATTTCATTCTACAGAAAAAACTGAATGAAATGATTTTGTCACAGCAACTGAAGCCTCTTTATCTGGGTGTATATCCTCATATGTCAATAAATAGACGAATTTCTTCTCAGCAGTATCTCTCAGGTAAAAAAAAAAAATCAGTCCAGTTAAAACTTTGAGAATGGAAAGGCTATGCCAGGTGCTTCATTTATTAGTTTCCAACCTTTATTCTATAGTAAATGTGAGGTCACTGTGTTCTTTTGGGAGAAAGGTTTTATAAAAAATGGAATGAGAGAAAGCTTTCATTTCATTTTTCATAAGCAGATTCATATTTGTCTAGAGTGTTCTTCTTAGGTTTTGCTTTTTCTGACTCATTCTCCTCTCTTCATCTTTGTTGTTGTTGTTATTGTTTTATTTTGCTTATTGCACTTAGCTTGGCAATAACAAGGAGTAGATAATGGCAGGATGCAAGTTTGATAAGAGGGAGACACAAAAGAAATATATCTGTTCTTTCATCGATGTCTACAGCCTGGGATAGACTTGGAAAGTGAAGCTCTCCATTTAGATCAGAAACTCCAATGCATAAAAGTTTCCAGTCTGTTGTGTGGAAGGAGGTTGTCAGAGTAAGTGAGAATAACACTATAACATATCGATTGAATTTCTTATCAATAGTTATCACAAATAGCAAAGATGGTTGTTGATAATCATTATGTTATTTTGGGAGAGGTATATCCACAATATTAGCTAGTCTTCAGCATTGGATATAGTCGATATTCACTAATTGTAATAATCTAAACAACTTTCCTTTAATTCCTGGAATAGTTTATAAAATTTCATAGTGAAAAGAATTCAGACTGATGTCAAAAGTGGGGCCAGATATTGCTTGCTTAATATTTAATTCTTGCAAAAGTTCTAAATTCATTATCATACCTTTGGTTATGCTTACTTTCCCTCACTGTCAGCAAATTCTAGCCCCATTTTTAGATTTCAATTTTTTTTAATAAAACAATGGGGTTTTTGGAGCTGGAGTGATAGCACAGCGGGTAGGGCGTTTGCCTTGCATGCGGCTGACCCGGGTTCGATTCCCAGCATCCCATATGGTCCCCTGAGCACTGCCAGGAGTAATTCCTGAGTGCAGAGCCAGGAGTAACCCCTGTGCATCGCCAGGTATGACCCAAAAAGCAAAAAAAAAAAAACAAACAAAAAAAACAATGGGGTTTTTAAGTCCTCTAACTATAGTTAAAAGACATCACTAAAAAATATAAATAATAAATGAGGGTGATTCTCTTTTTCAAGTGAAATGTAACAAGCTAAACAAACTGCAAACTTTATGAGTTTTCCTTTAGTGGAACGTATTTTTTAGTGTGCAAAAGTTCCAAGAGTAAAACATGGTTAAATGAAAATGCTCAAATTATGAAGTCTGAAAACCAAAATGAGGTAAGCACATAAATGACTTGTTGTTTTATCTGTTTTTTTTTTTACATTAGAAACTAATAGCTCCTGTATTTTTCACTGGGAGAAATAGAGGATAAAACAACTAGTGTGTAGCCATTTGGTCACAAATCCTAGCAAATGCTATTATATGCATCAGGATACAATGATATTAGGGGATGCTTCTGGAACAATGTGCAGAATGCGCCTATTTGGGGATGTTTTTCTTCTTACTGACAGTACACCTGGCAATTTGTATTCACCATTGTGAAGAGAAGAAAAAGATTAATTGTAGAGCAAACAAACCATGATAATACAGAAAACATGTTCTCTCTCTCCTCTTACAAAGAGGCTATAACTGTCCAACTGGCTATAATTTTTTAATGGTTGTGATGTTAACAAATAAGAATGCTGTTATAATTCCTATGCTTCATTTGCATAATATTATCAGTAAATTCAAACTAAATCAAAGTCCTTTGCCATGCATGCATAGAGCAAATATATTTAAAATGCTTTAATGTTGCTTTCCAAATAAATGCAAGACAAAAAAATAGCAATTTCCATTTATTTCTGTCTTCTTTTGAGTTTAAATTATGGAATAACCTTGATATTTTGGTGCAGATTTGGTCCCTTTTCTTTTCCACAATGTGTATTACTTAGAGTTGTAATGCTGGTACCTAGAAATGTGTTTTGTACCTCTAAACTTATCTGTAAAATACTTCATTCATGGGAAACTTACTTCAAATAGTGTTGCATTGTTGATTTAATAGGGACATATTCATTAAGTAAGTAGAGATTTCATAAATTGTATTGTTTTCCACCCAATATACTTCTTACCTTTCAAAATTTATTTTCTACCCCACTTTATGCTTGAGAACCAGCATTTGGTTCCCTGAAACGTTTTTTAAAACTTTGATTTTCAAAGAGAAATGTTTTATTTACAACCTTACGGTTCAGCCTTACATCTACTTTGAAGATTCTAGTCATATTGGATATTAATCATATAAAGCAGTTAAACTTTGGTAAATTTGTTAAATCTGGCATCTAGATTTCTGATGAGTAAACTGAAATTGCTCAGACAGAACATTTAACGTAGAAGCCTTCAATGAAATCAGCTCACTTTTTGCACCCATATTAATTCTTCTCACTGTAGTTTTTATTTAACCTACTAAAACTCAAAGCTAACATGAAAGAACGAAAGCAAAGAATAATTACTATTACCTTCAACTTCTTATTAAATTTCTGTGAAGAAATTACAACAGACAATGGTGGCAGCACTAGAAAATAGAGAAATAAAATTATATAATTACATTATTTACAAATTTAACAAGAGAAAAGAAATATAAGTGAGGAAACTCAAAGTAAAAGTACCTGCCCATTAACTCAGGTAAAATCGAGAGAGTACAAATAGACCATTGAGTAGAGTAAAGCAAGTGGTTCAGACAACCAGGAGAACTTACAGACTCTTCTTGAGTTCAAAGAATTGAGGCCGTGCAGGGCAGGAAGGAAACCTGCAGAAATGAACTGTCCACGGCAAGCTCAGAACAAGTTCTCCAAAAGTGAACTTCCAGATGGCTGCACTGACATAGGGCAGATGAAGTGGAAAGCTGGATAGAAGCTCCCAACTTCCTGGAAGCAGGTTGCAACCAAACCTAAGGTGAATCTAGCCTTTAACCTACAGCACTGTAGCACTGTAGCTCTGTCCTCCCATAGTTCATCTATTTTCTCGAGCGGGCACCAGTAACATCTCTATTGTGAGACTTCTTGTTACTGTTTTTCGCATATCGAATACATTACGGGTAGCTTGCCAGGCTTTGCCATGCGGGTGGGATACTCTCGGTAGCTTGCTGGGCTCTCCGGGAGGGTAGAGGAATCGAGCCCAGGTCCTCTGTGTGCAAGGCAAATACCCTATTGCTCTGGCCCAACCTACAGCAGTGAATATTATTTTTTTCAGTACCAGTAATCCAACCTAAGTCTCATCTGGCTCATTTCCCTTGGAACCACATCCTTGACTCCAGCATTAATAGTCTTTCTGGCATTTTCTGTAGTTCACAGTATTTTTTTACTTAGAGTTCACTCACTGAACCACATCCTTGACTCCAGCATTAATATTTTTTTCTGGCATTTTCTGTAGTTCACAGTATTATTTTACTTAGAGTTCATTCACTGTCGAGAGAAAATGGAAATTTACAAAAAAAAAGAATACATTAGTCCAATAAGAAATTATAATAACGTTAAGTACATTTCTATTCTGCTAATATCTTATTTAGTCCTATGATAACTTATGAAGTTATACTTTGCATATCTATTTAAGTAAAATAGTATAATTATCATTAGAATGAGAATTAGACTGAATTTTATATTCCAAAGCAAATATTAACCATGAGTTTTGAATCTACTATCTTCTGAATGCAAAATGTTGGGATTTTTTCCACTCATTACTTTGTAAATGTGCATTTCTGATAAACTAAAACACTAAATAAATACTTTACCTTCTGGTCGTTTAATATAGCAATAACCTTTGCAAACTAATATCATGCACATCACACAAAATTGTCACAATGTAATTTTGTTTCTGCCAACATTGATATGCTGCTGATAATTTGTGATTATAAATGTTTATGTCACTTTTGTAATTCAGGGGTTAAAGTGACTAGCAGACAGCATTTGTTCTTTCCCAAAGGAGCAAAAATTTAGAGAGTAAAATAAACTATGCCACTCTGAAATATTTGTATGCTGATAAACTCATGGAAAATTTACTCTTCAAAAATACATAATAATCTGGGGAAATTTCACTTGAGAAATTAGATCCTATGGAATAAATTCATAGATAATTTTCATTTATTGACTTCCCACTCTGCATGATTAATAAAAATAGTTGATAAACTAATATTGAAAAGATAGAGCTAATATTAAAAATATTGAAAGCTAATGATGAAAATATTTTATCTCCAGCAACATATAAAGTTCCCTGACCACCTCCAGAAGTGATCCAGGAGTAAGCCGGGGCACAATCAGATGTGGCCCAAAAATCAAAAAATAAATAAATGTTTCATTAAATGTCCTTGAACATGTTCTTATTTATTAGAATTTTAATTATATATAATAAGTACCCAAGGGCAAGGGCTAATGAGATTAAACGTGTTTGAGGTTCTTATAGATTGCTTTCCTAAAAGGCTGTATTAAGTTGACATTTCCTTTATGTGTGTAATACACTTTCTCACATGCTTTCCAGCTGTGCTATCCTTCTTTGTAATCTTTGTTTATGTGTCTGTAGCAAAGTGTATTTCATTGTGAATTAATATAATAAATATAAATTACATTTTTATTCGGGTGGTGGCACACCCAGTGGTACTCAGGGAAAATTGCATTCTCTTGTCTCCTCTGCAAAGTCAGGTACCTTTCTGTGCCTATTGACCTTTTCCATTTTCTCACCTTGAATTTTCTATTGAGACCTTTTGCCCATTTTTTCTTCTGATGTGTATGCTTGTAGTCATAGCTAACATTTATGCATTAGAAATATCAACCCATTCTTTGTCATCTTTGTTGTAAATATATTTTTCCAAACTGTCACAGGTATCTTGATTTAATTATTGTAGTCTGGCTTTCATTTTTTTTCAGTAGGCAAATATGTCAACCATTTTATGACTTTTAGATTTGGTTGAAGATTTTTGTAACCCTTCATAAAGTCCCCTGATTTTCTTTCAAGAGCT